GCAGGAATGGCAGAATTTATCCTGTGTTGGGACAGGGAGTGCCTACCAACCCTCTGCTTCTGTGAGAGCGTGAGAGGAGAGAGAGGCAGAGTTAATCTCACCCAACCTCAGCTGCCTACAGCTCAAGTGTCTGGCTAGGTCAATGGAGACAAGTTAGCCCCTTCAGAGGGCAATTTATGCTATCTTATGTGTCTGACACAGGCTAAGATGGAAAATCACTGACTTGGGAGTCCCCTTGTTTCTGCCAACAAGAAGGCTGCTAGCTAACCATCGCAGCCTAGGTACCCAGCTCTTAGATGTCTGCAAATGGGTGCAGCGAGCCTCAAGGTGATTTCATCTCAGCACACAATGCATGGGCAGTAAATGTTTCAGCACCACTCACATTGCCTCTTAGTGGCACTGGAAACAGGAGAATTTGGGTCAGGTCCACTGCTGACAGGAGAACAATCAGGGACTTAACCTAGTTGTCATATGCAGTGGGTGAATGCGGTAAAACCAGCCTGTGGGACCTGAGGATTTTGAACCCCGCATGTGAGGGGAAGAAACTGTCATCATATGTGCAAGTTTATAGCTCATCCACCCTATTTTTGCCTGGAGTGACCTGTGAGGTATCTGTAGTTAACATTGCTTCAGAGCTTCCCCTCTGAACTTCACTCTGCTCTGTCTTTGTGCACTTTCATTTGAGGCAAGTGATTTTGTATGGAAAAAACTAGCAAAAACAGTCTGTTGGTGGTAAAACACACCAGAAAGCACTATGATCCAAGAAAATGGATCCAAGAAAATGAAGGATTTTATTCCTTCGTGCAATTTCAAATGAAGACACTTGCTTGGCTGTAATAAATGCATTAAGACATGAGAAGTTTCCTTTCCCCCTTTCTTGTATATGTGGGAAACCCCAAAGACGCTTTTATTAGCTGAGTAATTTCCTGGATCTGGCTGTGCACTGCCAACACAGAGCAGCCTGGTTTGTGAGCAAGATGAGGAGCTAGATTGAATTGGAGGCTTATCATTTCCTGCCCTGCTGTGGTTTGCAAGCACTCAGAAAAGGCATCACCACCACCCCACCGCCAAGTTGTGAGGGCCCCAAAAAGTCCTTGCTGAGCACAGTATTAATCTCTGAGCAACTCAAAACAACCCTCCTCCCCAACCGAATTTGGCACAAACATCAATTATAGTGAAACGCTTTTATCCTGCCTGCCCCCAAAACCAGAAGGAGACCTGGCTCGTGTCAGGCTCACCGCTCTGTCCCCAGACCCTGTGTGGCTCTGCCCTGGGGTACATGGGGGTGGCCCCTCGCTTTCCCTTCCTCTTGCAGCTGTTGCTCCAGTGACGCAAACCAGGGGTGTTACAGGTGTGGAGCTGTGCCCCCTGCCACCTCCCAGCCTGTCCTCACCCTCTGCCTCCTGCTGCTGCCCTCCAGACCCTCAGCAAAGGGCTTACTAACCTTTTCTAAAGCCACATTTCTTTGTCGCCAAAACTCCTGGTACCTGATGCCAATGCCTGTAATACAGCTATGCTTGTGCATGACAAACCATGGGCCTGAGCCAGCAGGTGTGAAGGTGACACCAAAGCAGGGCTGGTCCCATACACAAGTGTAAGATGTTTGTGCGTGTGCAGGTGCACCCATGTGCTATGTACGCTCACATTCACACGTGTGTGTCTGTGTCAGAGCAGCAAACAAAGTTGACTCTTGTCACAAGACAGCTGACAGCATATCTTATTTTGGGAACAGATCATGCAGGATTGAATTTGACGAGAATCATCCAGTTTTTGCAATGTTCATAATGGTTTATGACATATAAAAAGATAAGGAAATACCTTGGGGCGGGGCGGGGGGGGAAGACTTTAACAGCTAGATATGGAGCAATTACCTGTAACTTGTGTCTATTTTGTAAGAGGCCTCTGCCAGTTCTGTCACGGTCATGAAGTTAGGAATTGCTCTGCTTGCTTCCCACTTGGTCCATTCAAACAGTCCTGGTTCCACCCTGATTTTGACTTTTTGGTCTAATTTAAGCCCTGCAAGAACAGGAAATATTTAAGAAGAGAAAGGTACTGTTACAGAACTGTTACATTTGGGCTATAGATTCTGCCTTGTTTGCTGTAATACTTTCATTAATGAACATGAATTACTTATTGTCAAATAAAAGAGGATCATGTTGATTAAATGAAGCCACCGTTTTGTCTGACTAATGTTAAGGCACTACAAATTATTACATTATCATCATCATCATCATCATTATTATTATTTCTGGAACTCTCTTGTAATCATCTGCAAGGTACAGAAGAGAATAGAAGAAAAGACCTCAGTAATGTTGCACTCTGAATGAACTTTAGGCAGGAAATTTTTTACCATTTTTATATAGCATTTTGCTCAGTGGTCCTCAGTGGGGCAATAAATTGTCCTACAATGTTAGAAAGGGAATTCTCTTGTCAAAAGGCACATTATTTTGTTGTCTTTTCTCAGAGAGGTCACTGAGTGGCACAAGTTCCCAGAAGAAATGCACTTCTGTCATAATTCTGATGTAAACGTGGTAATGAACTGTGAACCTCTGACAGCACTGTTGGAGGGGACAGGAGAGGAAAAAAAAAGAGAGAGGGAGGGGAAGAAAGAGAAGGGACGAGATTCTGCAATACAAAGGAATTAAAATAGTTTGGCTTGCAAAGGCAAATGCTTTCAGGAAAAGCTGTCTTCCCTGATTCACGTACGTATCCTTCAGAGCACTAGAAACATTTGCATTTTGGCACAGAATATTTTCCGGAAGAGGTGGCAGTGGTGATTTGATGATTAGCTACTAATGTTGAATTCAACCTGATGTGAAATGCCTCTGTTTCATATCACATTAGATTCCATTTTAACTAGCGAGGACTAGAGTTAATGGGATCATACTCTGCACGGAGTACACATGGCAGCAGGTTTATTAGTGCCTGTATTAGCAGCTAGACAAAACCACCTTGTCTTCCCTGCTTAAATAAACAACAGTATAACCACAAAGTCATACATCATCTTAATTGCTCATCTCAGAGACTTCATAGAAGTTTAATGAAGACATTTTCACTGTGGCAAAAGCACCTGGCCAGTTTTGCTGCCTTACCCTGCAGTATGTGTTGAGCTGTCTGTACGCAGCGGAGTGCGGGTGATGAGTACACGTAGCTGACTGTCACGTCCTGGTCCAGCAGAGCTTCCCCTGGACGGGAACAGCAAAGCGAGTTGCTCTTTCACAAATCATGACAGATGAGAAACTACCACAAAATACTTTCTGCAAAAAAACAGCTCAGAGCTTTTCAATTTCATTGACATGGGATATGTTGATAGTCCCTTTCTATTAATTTTTTCACACTATTGGCTGACTGAGATCACTAAAAAGCTCATTCTGGTTGCAACAGCAAATTTAAAATGGGTGTTGGAAAGATAATTACAGAAGGTTCACCCAAAATCTGCAAACAGCAGTTAGATATTTGGCTGTCTCCACGTATCTGACTCATTGGAGATGATAAGCATTCGCCCCAGACTTGCACTGTCACAATCAGGTACGCTTGCTCAGGGGCAGATACAGCTTCATCTGGTGAGAGAACTGAGTCAGGCTCACCCACGCCACCCAGCCGTCAGGTGCCTGTGATGAGCGGACGGCACTCTGCTGACCGTGACGCTGCTCCCTCTGGCCAGCCCCTTCGCTCCCCACTGCTCGTGCAGTGACAACTGCGTAAGTCCCTTGCAGATATGCAGCAGGGCACAGGTAGCGTGGCAGCTTCTCTCTTTTAACTTTCTTTGCCTGGAACTGGCAGAACAGGTCTCCAAGATGAGCAACCAGTACCCATCTCTATTTTACTGTTTAACAAGATCTTGCAGCGGTTGCCCATAGAGAAGTGTTACCAGAATGAGTGCTGCTAGCAAGTTTTTCTACTACAAAGCCACTATGAGCTTTTGCAGATGAGGAAAGGCTGCTTCCCAAAGCCTCACGTTTGCAGTAGGATATTATCCAGCTTACCTATAAGCCTCGACTGGAAAATACCACAGCAAGATAAAGGAGGATCATACTCAAAATGCTTCATGCTGTCTTTCCGCTTCGGCAGGGTGGAAGGGAAGTTCAGATCAGCTCTGTAGTATTTTCCTGAAAAAAGATGGGACATTTTGCCGTGGTACGAGGGAGGCAGCAGCTAACACACAGCTGCGTGTTGCTATAATGGCTTTGTTTCTCCTGAATGGTTGGACAGCCGGTTCTGAAAACTCAGCTCAGTGACATCTCGACCAGCAAATGAAACAGGTCAGGGCCCGTTCTCTGGCTGCAAGGGCAAGTGAAGAAACAGGGTGTCTGCCCAAAGAGCTAGTCTCTCTTCCCTCCACCCCAAACACCCATGCTGTCTGTCCTCTGGGGTCCCACCCTGGTCTGTGCTCTCCCCAAATCTTGCCTGGAAACTCTTGGAGTGAGGGGGAGCTGCCATCAGCCGAAACCACGCCAGTGAGGCAGCTAAGATCTAAGCGATTTGGGGGATCATGGGGCTCTTCTTGAACTCAGATGCCTCTGGGATTATTTCTAATCTAGTAGTCAGACTACATCTGACTACTACAGATGTAGTCAGTGTCTCACTGGTGAAAAAAAACCCGGTGACTACTATTACCTTAAAGAGATCATGTTTTAAGGTCACAACGCTGGCTTGGGAAATCACCTGTCCTAACAAAATAGCACCTCTTTTGCAAGCTCTGAAGGAGCAAATAGGGGGAAGGAGATAGAGGACAGGAAATTGTGAGAATTTGGCTTTACGGGGCTCAAATGAAACAAAAATTCACTCCATATCGATATTCTTTTACCATGGCCAAAATGACGAAAAACATTTCCACTGAAGAAAAATGAAACCAATGAATTGATTATGCAGCCAGAAGGTACCACCCTCATTATCTAGTGTGAATTTCGCACACTTAATATAGGAGCTCTCCAGCATAACAAAGGAGACTTACACCATAAAGCTCCCCCTTCTGAACTCCCACCTTCTTGTTCCCCTCCTTCCTCCTGATGTATAGTGCCCGGTCAGTTTTCTTCACCTCAAAAGATACTTTTTTTGAGAGAGAGGGCCAAGAAATTCAGCTTTTAATTTAGGTCAGTGCTGACATGTCATTTCCACCATGGTTTGCTCTTCTTCTTCTTCCCCAAGTTTGACTAGTGACATACTGTGACTCTGACCAACAGACCGTGACTCTGACTCAAGCATGGAAAGATGGAGGGGTCTGACAACCACCACCTTGTATAACAAGCAGTAGAGATCTTGTGTTTTGTACGTCTGTCAGTGAGACACACATGTCAGTATCATAAGAGTTTTGCTTGTTCTGCAGAGTTTATCCATCATAAACATGAAGGACTTTAGGACATTATGAAATACTGCTTACGTGCAGGTCAAAGCAGTGCTGTACCTGGCTTGCAATGTTACTCTTTTGTGTCAGTGTTTACATTTACACATAGCAAACTGAATCTCTTGTACCTGTTACGGGGGTTAATTGGTTTTGGTTCTGATTTGCTAAGACCCTTCCAATATCTTACTCACCATCTGCAGTCAAGCACTGTTGAAGCCAAGATTTGCCAAAGACTTGATCAACTCCTTCCCCGTGGCGCATCACCAGCACGGCTCTTCGCAAGGTGGCATACTGAGGCAGCTGCATAAAAAAAAGGTTTTTCATGACAATATTATATATAACCTGCATGAATAGTCTGGATCCCTGAATGCTGCCTGATGGAAGAAGGAACAGCAGACCTGTCCTGGGAAGTTTATAACAAGCACAGAGCGGGAGAGAAAGGAGCAGCTATAAAAGATGTTTGTCTTTAGGACAATAGTAAGCCTGACCGGCTCTCCACTGATGGCAAATGAAAGAGATCCTTGACCTTCATGGGCTACAGCTTAGGTTTTAACTCTCTGTTTACACTACTGAAAGGTAGTGCTGATAACAGATCTTTTAATTGCAGTGTGGGAAGGAATAATAATTTTCATATATATCATATGATTGGTATAAACAAAAGAGGGAAACTAGCTAAGATTTAAACAGTAATGCTCTTTTCTACACCAGGACTAACACCAAGCTCATCCTTCTTTTCCTAATGAAAACACAACTTTTTCACTTTTCATAACTGTGTGGCCAAGTCAACAGTGAACACAGATCTCCTCTGAGGCCACTTTTTTACTTAGTCTGCACGTAATTACAAATAAGTTCTAAGTTGTTTGAGGTTAGTATACAATGCATGTTAAATACAGATGAGAAGATAATGATGAACAGGTCAAAGGCTTTAAAACTTTTTCAGCAGTAACCTACAGCAGCGTTACTGCTGCAGCACTGAGATTAGTGATCTGTATCTTCAGCAGCAGAGAAGGGAATTCTTAAGAAGTGGTGTGAGATTTATATTCATGCATTCTGCTAAACACTATTGCATTTCTGCCATGAAACACAAATCAACCACCTCAAGATTGGAGTTTAAAGTTTTGTGGTCTTGCTCTTCTGCTTAGGAGGAACCCAGAGGCTGGGGAAACTCCTAGACTGGAGACATGCACATCTGCAATACATGTTCCTCAGGCCAAGTGGTGGCTCTGCCCCAGATTTGACTTAGATAACAGAGACCAAGAGCAATCACGAGCTGGTGGAAGGACTTGTGACTCGTGCAAAAGTTTCTGTCTTACAGTCGTATGCATAGTGCCCTGGGAGGCTCCAGGATGGAAGTTCCCTCAAGGTGCCCTCAAGTTTCTCTGGTGTTAACAGAAATGAACCTGGGGTTATCCCCTAGCACAGCGAGAAGAGAGGCCGTGGGGCCAGCAAGCCCAAAGGGGTTTCTGCAGCATGTCAGTGTGCTGGAAAGGACTGTCTTGGCATCCCTGACAGAGCCAATAAAGCAGTGCAGGAGCAAATGTGCTATAGGTAAAAAAATAGAGTCCTTAATTTGTTTTGCTCTTCCTACCAGAAGACCAGTGGAAAACCTGGTAAATATTGATACTTGTTCATTTTGAAACTGGAACAAAAATGTAATGCCATCAGTACTGCCAACCTTTCCAGCTAGCTGTTCCCTTCCTGCAGTTCTATGCTGTTATTTTCATTAGCTATATATCTAAACATACAAAAGAAGATGAAACATTTAAATGTGTTAAGGTCTGAAACCATATAAACCACCAAGGTGATATCCATAGAATCTGGACATAAAAGTAACAATGAACAGTGAGCGTAATTCTGCTCTAGTTACTCTGCTAAGAACCCATATAAAAGGGAAAGTTGTGCCTGCTTCTCACTTATCAGACTTGTCGCCACCTCTGCACAGCTTGCCCAGTAAAGCTGTGCACAGAGAAACCCGCTCAGAGAACTCATATGTTGTGCTATTATGACAGGAATGAAAGGAGTTTTATGAAAGAAGGCAAGACTATCATATCATATATGTTACAAAGTATTTATAAGATATTATACCATACAGTATGAGCATATGAGTGTGTGTGTGTATATATATATGTTCATTATAATATAAAATGAAAATGTGAGGGAGAAAAAGGAAGATATTATTAAATTTACTAAATGCTTTTAATTAATAGAATATCTGCACAAGCACAGGGCAAAGATAAAAACTGGGGAAAAAAAACCAATTACCTGACGAGAAAGTACATTGGTTACATTCCTTGACATACTAGGATTATGGACTTCTCCATTCAGCTTTTCATGAAGTTCATTTTCAGTTTGGGTGAAGGATCTCGAAGCTGTTACAAAAGTATATTCTCTGCAGAAAAAGCAGAAGCAACACAGACACACACACACATATATGGGCGCACATGCAAATAGAAGGGATTTTTAAGTCATGATTTTGTCTACAGACACGTGTAAGTCAGGATTCATGTTCCATTCAATATGTCTTGCACACTTGCAATCCACTTCATCACTTTGTTCTTGATTTAGAATCTGCCCTGTAAAAATGAGGCTAAAGTAATATGAACTGATGGCATATATTGGGTGCAACCCTGCTGAAGTGCGATATTCTAACAGGAAATACTACCTGGTTGCCTCCTCTCTGTCTCTGAGGACGCAGCAAGAAGTGCACCTACACCTCCCTGCTTAGAAAAATCAGCTCTAATCTACAAGTAGCACCAGCCACGCTGTCAGCTGCAAAGTGCAGGAAACCAGACAGATGCCTGCTGATACAGGGTGGGCTCAAGGTGGTGGAGTAACCTTTGCGTGGTTTCATTTCAAGTTAACTTTGTAAGCTCTTGAAATGAGAAAAAAAGAAGAAAGAAGAAAGCAGTGAGCCAGGCTGAAGGCTCAGCCTGCCTGGCAGAATGTGGTCTTTTAAAATTCATTAGGATGTTCAGGTTGTTCAAGAGCAAGCAGGGGTCATCCCTTGAGGAGATGAACTAATGAACTCTGGGTGTCTGTGCCTATGTGTCCTATGTCTTTTCTTCCAGAAGTCTCAGTATCCCACCCAGACCCCCAGGACACCCCTCCTCTCTGCCCACGCCGCCTCCAGCTCCCACCTGGCAGCACACAGCTCATGACGAGGAGGAACGCTGCCACTGTTTCCCAGCAGAAAAAGTGGCTGACATCAAGAAACACCAATGAAACCCCAACTTACCTGTGCTTAACCCACGTGTCTGACTCATTGGCCCTCTCAGTGTAGTTTTCGGGAAGAAAACCCCTGCAGCCAGTCCGATGTGAGGTCCCAATCACCCAGCCTTCGCTCACGTCGGACTGCTGCGTCGGGTCAACGTAGACAAAGTCGCCGATGTTGATCATGAGTTCGTCGATGTTCTGGGGCTTGTACTGGAAGAGGGCCCTCAGCGTCTGGGGGAAACACGCAGCGGGGTCAGGCTGCTGCCCGGAGCTTGCTGCTGCACGTGCCACAGCGGTTCGGGGGATGCTTGCTCGACTCTCTACTGGGCACAGTGACCAGCACTATTTTCCACTTTGCAATGTGCTCTGCTTCAGCAGAGACAAAGGAAGACAATACCACATTTGCAGTATGTGTAGCATTTGGTTTTCATAAAAATATTTTTTTCCAGTAACCAGTACAGACTTATTTGAAAGCAGACATAGCAAAAGTGTTATCAGTGATTTTTGTGATTACTTGCAGATCTCCTGAGTGTGACCAAAATCCAATACGAGACTTGTGACAAAGCGATATACTGATCTGACTAAAAAACGTTGATCATTCCATAAATTAAATTTGGAAATGAGAATTGGAAAAATGTCAACTGGTTTTAACTAGGAGTCTGTTAAGTAGCAAATCATCAGTGTGAACTGTGCCCTGCTCGCTGATATTTAATCCATGCAGTTTTCATCATGGCTGGAACAATCAAGAAAACTAATTTGGCTGAATGGAATTTTACCACAAAGCTGTGATCTGACAAATCCTAGCAAATGTTCAAAGGTCATCATTTCCTGCCTCTCTTTTTTTCTCATGTCATGGTAAGATTAGTTTTTTCTCCTGGAATTTGGAATTCAACCTTGCTGACATGCATGTCAAGCGGGCTGCCATAAAGGTATCTTCTACTGATTTGTGAGGACAGTTTTTCAACCCAAAGAGGTACTTGAAACAACTGTGCTTTTTGAAACACTGTACCGTGCATGCACTGATTTTCTTAATGAAAAAAAAAAAAGGCAAGATGACTGTAGCAAAGAGTCTGACCATAGGCTCAGGAAATTAAACAAATCTGATGACAGTACCTGGTAATGCACAAAACGCATGTCCCGTGAGTAGAGAGCAGCCACCCACTGGCAGGTCTCCCCTGGGTTAATGCATTTGGCCAATTGTTCCAAAGTCTTTTGATGGTGAGGATAAAACTTGTGAGCCAAGGTAAGGTGGAGCTGCTTTAGGCAGGGCTTCACATGGCAATCTAGGAACAGAACAATCACGTCACAACACAGAAATGAAGGTCATTTAAAGCTCTTGTTTTGTCCTACATGCTTTGCATGATACAGGAAATATCATAGTAATTAGTAGTAGAGTGGATCATAGTTTTGCTGAATAACTGTTTTTACAGAATGTCATGGTTTTACTCATGCCAAAATAATTCACAAGTCTGGACTGGATTTGCTCCCTGGCTTCAGCTGGGAGAAAAAAAATGAACAGGGTTTAAAATCCTCTCCCAGTCTGAGATGTATTGAACTCATTTCTCCCAAATGAAGCTATTCTGGGCCTGCCTCCCTTCAGTCTCCATTGGTGATGCAGTTTCCCTTGGATGTCACTGGAGTGGGGATTAGGACCTATTTCTCAGGGATGCAGTCGGGCCATCAGGCTGGGCCACAGCACCATGGGGATGGAGGTCTGGGGACAGGGATGATTATATCCCTGCCCATCTTGGATATCCCAATTGATGGCCCGTCAAGTTACACAGCTAACCATTTCAGCTTCTAGACAAAAGCACTGTGTCTTCAAAGTCTAAAATATGCTCCCCTA